CCCCGGTCTCTCCCTCCCCTTCCCCCGGGGCCTGCCCCTACCTGCGTTCCTTGCGTCGAGGGGCGGCAGCGCGCCACTCCTCACTCCTCCGCGTTCCCTCTGACGGAGGCCCCCTTGTAGACGCTTCACATAGACGTGTGGGGCCCAGCCCGCATTCGTGGCCAGGGTAATGAGCGCTACTTTCTGCTGGTCGTTGACGACTACTCGCGTTACACCACAGTCTCCCCCTTGAGCAGCAAGGGTGAGGTCACTAAGGTGCTGATCGACTGGATCCGCGTTGCCCGTTGTCAGCTCAGCGAGAGTTTCGGCTCGGACCTTCCTGTTCTGCGTCTGCACTCCGACAGAGGTGGAGAGTTTTCCTCCGACCTTCTGCGAGCCTTCTGTCGTGCGGAGGGCATCTGCCAGACGCTCACGCTTCCGGCCTCTCCGAAGCAAAATGGGATTGCTGAGCGCCGCATTGGCATGGTCATGGATGTCGCTCGTACGTCCATGATCCATGCGGCTGCTCCCCATTTTCTGTGGCCGTTCGCGGTTCAATACGCGGCGCATCAGCTCAACCTCCAGCCTCGGGTCTCCATGCCGGAGACCACACCTACTCTGCGGTGGACGGGAAGGGTTGGCGATGCGTCTCCGTTCCGTGTTGGGGGATCTCGAGCTTTCGTCCGCGACTTGTCAACAGACAAGCTGTCCTCCCGTGCTGTTCCCTGCATCTTCCTTGGCTTACCCCCTGACGCGCCTGGTTGGCAGTTTTACCACCCCACCTCGCGCCGTGTTCTGTCCTCTCAGGACGTCACGTTTGACGAGTCGGTTCCTTACTACCGTCTCTTCCCCTACCGCACTGCCCCCCTCCCCCCCCCCGCCGCTCTTCCTCGCGCCAGGTCCTCCCCCGGTAGACCCCCTCCCCCCTCAGGGTCCTGCCCCCTCAGGTGTGTCCTAGTTAGACGCAGTCAAGCCTGTCGAGGTAGCTGTTGACTCTGGTGCTGCTAGGGGTGCTGAGCCTGCGGGTGCCGTGTCTCCGGGTGCTGAGCCTGAGCGTGCGGAGCCTGGGGGTGCTGAGTCTGGGGGTGTTGAGCCTGGGGGTGCTGAGCTTGGGGGTGCTGTGTCTGGGGGTGCTGAGCCTGGGGTTGCTGAGTCTGGGAATGCGGAGCCTGAGGGTGCTGGGCCTGCTCGTGTGGAGTCTGGCGGTGCTGAGCCTGGAGGTCCTTCGGGTGCTTCGTCCCGGCGGGAGCCACTCTCTCCACAGCAGCTGCGCGAGTGGTTTGCTCGGCGCTTGAGTCGTGCTGCTGGAGCTGGTGGTTCTACGAGCGCTGGAGGCCCTGCCACTTCTTGAGGTCCTGCTTCTGCTGGAGCTGCTGGGGGTTCTGGAGCCACGGGTCCCGGAGGTGCTCGTACTGGAGGTACTTGAGCTATTGGGCCTGGTGATGCTGCTGGAACTGGAGCTGCTGGAGGTGCTGGAGCTGGCGGTGCTGCTGGGGCAGGTGCTGCTGGGGCAGGTGCTGCTGGGGGTACTGGAGCTGGAGCTGCTGGCGCTACTGGGGCTTCAGGTGGTCCTGTTGGAGCTGGAGCTGCTGGAGGTGCTGGAGCTGGCGGTGCTGCTGGAGGTGCTGCTGGAGCTGGTGGTACTGCTGGAGTTGGAGCTGCCACTGGGGGTGCTGGTTCTGTCCTTGCTGGTTCCGGAGGCGCTGTGTGGCCATGGCCGTACTAAGTTCTGTTTCTTCAGCAGGTTCTTGGTCTTCCGCCTTCTACTGGTCCTGCTCCTTGCTTAGAGTGTCCACCGCCTGTCCAGTCGTAGTTCCAGTTACAGCCTGCCTCCCCACTGCCTGCTCCTTCTTCTTACACTGGTCCGACCGGAGGTCTTGCTGAGCGTCGTGAGCCTGCGTCTCGTCCTGCGTCACCTGTTCGTGCTGCTAGCACTAGTCGTCGTGGTTTGCGTCAGCGTCCTCCTCCTGTCCTTGGCACGCACCGAATGGTTCTGCGCCCTTCCACTGCTCCACAGCGTGTCCCTCTGCCGTCTGCGTCCTCTCTTCCTGCCCTTGCTCACCCGGAGTCTGACTCCTTTCGTGCGGCTAGTCCTACTGTTGTCACTGACCCTTCCTTTGAGTCCACTGTTGCGTCTGCCTTAGTTGCTGAGTTTGTCGACTTTCCTGCTCACTGTCGTCTCGAACACGCCGCTAGTCTTGTTGCTGAGTCTGAGTCTGTCTGTCCTCCGTCCGTCGGGGGTGAGTGTGCTCTTGGCACTGACGTCCTTGAGGACAGGCAGGAGGACTTTGAGTGCTTTGCAGCTGCTCTACCTTATCTCGTGTCCATGCTGATTGCACCTGAGGGAGACCCGGATGCACCAGACATCCTGACCCCGCTCTCTTACGTAGAGGCGATAGAGGGTCCCTACTCCTCTCAGTGGCAATCAGCCATGGACGCAAAGATGGCATCCTGGAAGTCCACAGGCACCTACGTCGACGAGGTTCCCCCTCTTGGGGCGAACATCGTCAGTGGCATGTGGATTTTCAGGGTGAAGCGGCCGCCGGGTTCTCCGCCTGTCTTCAAGGCGCGGTACGTTGCTCGAGGCTTCATTCAGCGATAGGTAGTTGACTTCTTCCAGACCTTCTCCCCGACCCCGAAGATGACTACTCTTCGGGTTCTGCTGCACGTCCCTGCTCAGCGTGACTACGAGCTTCACCCTCTTGACTTCAGCACAGCCTTCCTGCAGGGCAGCCTGCACGAGGAGATCTGGCTTCGCCGCCCACCTGGCTTCACTGGGTCGTTTCCTCCTGGCACTCAGTGGAGCCTCCGGTGGCTAGTCTACGGTCCCCACCAGGCGCCCCGTGATTGGCACGACACACTGAGGACTACGCTTGCGGCTCTTGGGTTTGCTCCTTCCACTGCTGACCCGTCGTTGTTTCTCCACACCGACACTACTCTGCCGCCGTTCTACATCCTCGTGTACATCGACGACTTGGTCTTTGCTACTGCTGACACTGCTGGACTGGCCCACGTGAACTCGGAGCTGTAGAAGAGACACGTGCACACACCTGGGTGAGCTGCGCAACTATCTTGGCTTGTAGATCACCCGGGATAGAGCACGGCGCACCATTACCTTGACTCAGCCACACATGGTGCAGCATGTCCTTCAGCGCTTCAACTTCACGTACTCCTCGCCTCAGGCCACTCCTCCGTCTACTCGCCACTCGCTCTCAGCTCTGCCTTCGGATGAGTCTGTAGAGCCTAGTGGCCCGTACCCAGAGCTTGTTGGCTGCCTCATGTACCTGATGACCTGCACTCGACCTGACCTGGCGTACCCTCTTAGCATCTTGGCACGCTATGTTGCTCCTGGGAGACACCAAGAAGAGCACATGGCTGCAGCGAAGAGGGTGTTGCGCTACCTGTGCAGTACGTAGGGCATGGGGCTCGTGCTTGGAGGACGGGCTCGAGTTGTCCTCACTGGTCCCGCAAACGCTTCTTGGGTTGACGACTTGGCTACGCAGCGGTCGTTACAAGGTTACACCTTCAGCCTTGGTTCCGGCTCTGTTTCGTGGCGGTCTACCCGCTCGTCCTCTGTTCTCAGCTCCAGTTGTGAGGCTGAGATCTACGCTGAGGCCATGGCTGCACAGGAGTTACGCTGGCTCACCTACCTGCTGACGGACTTGGGAGAGGCGCCTCGTTCTCCTCCAGTTCTATACGTTGACAACAAGGCCATGCTGGCCTTGTGTCGGGAGCACACACTGGAGCACAGAACGAAGCACATTGCTCTGTGCTACTTCCTTGCTCGAGATTTGCGGCAGCGTGGTGAGCTTTGTGATTATCAGCGTTTCTCGGGCCAACACTGCTGATATCTTTACCAAGGCACCTCAGCCTTGTGATTATCAGCGTTTCTGTACTATGCTAGGTCTTGTGCCTACCGGGCCTCACTTGCTTACCTCTTGACTTTGCTTGAACTGTGATCTATTTATACCTGCGCGTGCATGCTTACCTTTGTTAGGCTGCGATCACTGTCTTGCTTGTTCACTTTGATTTATAGTCCTGCATGTGAACTGGCCTTGTGGCCTTGAACTTGTGCTAAGGATGTTTGGTGACGTTGTGATCCACCCTGAGCTTGACCTTGTCTTGTTCTCTTGCTTGTCCCCCACTTTGCCTATGGGGGTGTGTCAAAACCATATTGTAGGCTGTAGTGGGGTTGACAATATGGGGTACAACTCTTTTAGGTTTTCATATTTGTACCCACCTGCTTCCTAGTTGATTCCATTCCTCGTTATTATTCTCACACCACACAGTGCTCACACTGAACGCGGTGCGTAGACGGATAGTTGAGCTTGTAAATCGGCCCGCTTGCTCCCTCGTTGTTAGCATGCGGTGGTCACGTCCGTTGGATGAAACAATGTCAACGGACTTGTGTCCAGTCGCTCCCACCCGTCAATCTCCGCCATAGTCACCGCACAATCTCCGAACTGAGTTGCTGCAGGGCATACCCTGCTGCAAGGACAACTCTAGGCTCGCTCGCAATACTTCAAACGTAAAAGTTGGTGATTCAAATTTTCAAACCCTAAGTGCGCTTCTAGTCGCTCGCTGATCGTGGCGTACCCCTGCCTTTCTATCGTCTTGTGCGTCATCTAGACATATGTGCCTTCAGTATGAGGCCTATAAATATGGTGGATCAAGAGGGCTCAATGACTTATCTACCAATGTTTCCAGTGACGCTAGGCATCAATGGAAACCCTATCTGCTATCACGAGAACGGCTTCGCCGCGTCCGTCTCGTCCTCCCTCTACTAGCGGAAGATTCAGGTTCGCAGCAGTTGTTGAAGCAGTCGTTGCCGCACGAACCTCAACGGTGCAGAACAATGGCGCCAACGGAGGAACGAACCCTGCATCTGGCGGATCAAATAGCCCTACTGGCGGGTCAAATGGGGTTGACGAAGGTATGTGCTACTTGCTCTGGTTTAGCGGTGGGTACATAGCGGGTTTCAATAGCACTAGTTATCCGCGAGCACCTGCGTTTTTTGTCGCATGCATTGCATTAATCCACGCCGTGTGCACTCTACTGCAGGGCATCGTATTGTCTCCCTCAATCAGCTATCGATGCCATCGAATGGTGGCCTCTCCATCGGTGCAGCATCTACCACAACAGGCAGTGGGAGAAGGTCCGGTGGTGCACGTCGCAACACAACAGCGCTGAACGGTGTACGATAGCCGGCAGCATCTACTGGAAGAAGGCTTCGAGGCAGCTCCGCACCCGCCGGTGGAGTTGTTCAGCACTCGGCGGTAGTCCAGAGTGTCCAGTCGGGAGCGGTCCAGGCTGGGGCAACGGCACGAAACCAGTCTGGCCGCACGGCTGCAGCACGCGCTCGGCAAACGGCCGCATACCAGACTGGCCGGTCAGCACAGCAGTCCGACTCTCAGGCGGAGGCAGCGTTTCAGCCTGCTGCTGGTGCGGCGCTTGCGCGTGGTGATGGAGCGGCGATTCCTACTGCTGCTGGAGCGGCGATTCCTACTGCTGCTGGAGCGGCGATTCCTACTGCTGCTGGAGCGGCGATTGCGCCTGCTGCTGGTGCGGCGATTCCGAGTGCCGCTGGTGCGGCGAGTACGACTGCTGCTGGCGCGGCGTTTCAGCCTGAAGCTGAGGCGGCGATTCTGACTGCTGCTGGAGCGGTGTTTCCAACTTCCGATGGTGTTGCGTTTCCGCCTTCCGATGGTGTTGCGTTTCCGCCTTCCGATGGTGCTGCGTTTCCGCCTTCTGATGGTGCTGCGTTTCCGTCTTCCGATGGTGCTGCGTTTCCGCCTTCTAATGGTGTTGCGTTTCCGCCTTCTGCTAGACAAGAGTTTCCGCTCGAGGCTAGAGCCACGCTCGCGTTTGCGGATGGAGGCGCAAACCAGCCTGGTGCTGGAGCAGCGTCTCCGTCTGCTGCTGGAGTCGCGTTCCTTACTGAGGCTGGAGCCCCATTCCAGCCCGCTGCTGGTCAGGAGTTTCCGCCCGCGGCTGGAGGCACATTCGAGTCTGATGCTGATGCATTCGATGCTCTTCTTGATGAGGAGGACGAGTGTGGTGGTTATAACCAGCAAGTGGACCTCGAGGCGCAGCCAGAGAAAGAACCCGTCATCCCCGAACCTGGGTATATGCACGAGTTGATGGAAAATCGTGCGACAGAGTCTGCATCGCCAACTGTAGACCGTGCGATGTTTGAGGCCCAGGCCGCACGGACCCGTCAGTTGGAGCGCGAGCTTATGCAAGCGAGGAATGAGATGAGAGCCATGCAGCGACAACATGCACCCTCACATCAAGGCACTGGTCAACGCGATGGGCAGCGATTCGACTGGGAGCTCAACACCGATGCGGATGCCATGGTTGGAACGACGCAGAAAACAGTGCGGAAGCAAACGGAGGGTTGTCAGGTGGGGCCGGTGCGGCTAACGGAGGGCCGTCAGGTGGTGATGGTGCGGCTAACGGAGGGCCGTCAGGTGGTGCTGGTGCGGCTAACTTTGGGCGGTCCGTTGGTGCTGGTGCGGCTAACGGAGTGCAATTTGGGACGGCTGGTGTGGATAACGGAGGGCCGTCAGTTGATGCTGGTGTGGCTAACGGAGGGCCGTCAATTGGTGCTGGTGTGGCTAACGGAGGGCCATCAGTTGGTGCTGGTGCGGCTAACTTCGGGCCGTCCGCTGGTGCTGGTGCGGCTAACGGAGGGCGTCTTGGGGCGGCTGGTGTGGCTAACGGAGGGCCGTCAGGTGGTGCTGGTGCGGCTAACGGAGGGCGTTTTGGGGCGGCTGGTGCGGCTAACGGCGGGCGTCGTGGGGCGGCTATGGGAAACTCAGACAACTACGAGCGTCCCATGGTTTTGGTCGAGCCAAATCGCCCTGCTATCATCGACGCTGTCAACAATGCGTACTCGAATGGAGCCACGCTCGACTTGCATCAACTAACTCGAATGCAACGGACGTGGTCGCACCGATATGCAATGGCATTGGCCTCTGTTCCGGCGAAGCACAACGGGTTCACGGTAGGCCACGGTTTCCTCATTGTCCCGTACAAAGCCTTCCTCTTCTCATGTGAGGTATCCGTACCAAGCCCTCATACGTTTCCTGCCTTGTTCCTGTTAAGTACCCTCACTAGGCATGGTCTAAACCATGCCATACGACCCTGTGACATGCGGCACATTCACTGACTATGACGGTCACTAACCTTGTGCCCCTCCCCCTACCCTTAGACCAGGCGATCTCTCCTCCCTTGGCATGCGCGCTCAGTCCACCCATACCCCCAAGGCCCACCTTACCCTCCTCCCGTGGCTTTGAGGTGCGGCACAATCACCAAAATTGTCCCACTCTGTCTCTGCCCTTCTGCCTTTGCCCCTCCCCTCCCTTTCGTACCGCCTCTCTCTCCTACCTTGGCAGGCGCGCTAGGTCCACCCATACCCCCAAGGCCCGCCTTACCCTCCTCCCGTGGTTGTGAGGTGGGGAGCAATCAGTCACACTGCAGCAGCAAGTCTCTGCCCTTGTGCCTAACCCCCTTCCTCCCAGTAACTTCCTCCTCCCCGTATCTTCTCCCTTTGCAGGCGTGCTCGGTCCACCTGTTCCAACCAGACATGCCTTACCCTCCTCCCGGGCCTGTGAGATGCAGTGCACTCAAACCCTCTGACTAAGCCAGTCCTCCCCTTTTGTGCCTAAGCCACTAAACACATCTCACCATTCTCTTACCCTGAACCGCTGTGAGCATGCAGGCCGCTACAAAGAAAGCCGTAGACATACTTGTCTATGAGACTCCGAATGCCCATCTGCAGTTCTGGTGCCCTCGTTTAGCGATTATCAACGCGCTGGCGTCGGCCCTTGACGCTTGTGATGGAGAACAAGACTGGTCGACCGGGTCAGTTTCGGAAGAAGTTCCAGGACAAACGCAACACGGTACTCACCACCGGAAGAGTCAACCTGTATGAGTACTTCAACATCAAGATAGAACGGCCAAACCTCCACCAGGCGGTGGTGGGACGGGTGGAACCTTCAGCCTTTGTCGCCAAATTCGCTGCAGGTATGGAACCTGCAACGTTTCGTACATACTTGGCTGCTTCCCCCTTTCAAATCCTTGTAACTTTGCACCAGCACTCGTATGTCGCACGTCTCTCATATCCAGGCCTCTCTCTTGCACATCTCTTCACTAACGGTGCCCCTGTTCCCTTGTGTTCCGGTCCATCCACCAGATTTCACATGCACGTACTAAACCCTTTTCCCATATACCCCAAACTTTCGCTGCCTACCCCACTCCCCCCCATCGTTCATGCCATGCATGCCCATGCCCCCAGGTGAGGTACATCATTCCGGTCAAGATGCCGAGGAACGCAGAGCCAAAGAGTTCGTCATGTGCTCTGTTGACTCAGATTTGCATGGTGCCAATCTTCAGTGCGCCTTCGGCACCGACCGACTGCCCCCACCCTCTTCACCCGCCAATGCCCATTCTATCCTCCTGCCCTCTGCTGCCCGCCAATGCCCACTCTGTCCTCCTGCCCTCTGCTGCCCGCCAATGCCCACTCTGTCCTCCTGACCTCTGCTGCCCGCCAATGCCCACTCTGTCCTCCTGTCCTCTGCTGCGCCCCTCTATACCCCTCCATCCCCCGCATGCCTCCACATGTCCAGCATGGGCCTCTCGAACATCGGGAATGCAAAGGCTCTCTGCATAGGGCAGCACCCGTCCCCCACACATGCCTACCAAAATCCGATGCATTTCACCATGCCTACCTGAGTTGTGGTTCATTTGTAAGCCCCTTGCGTTTCTATCCTAAACCCCAACTGCCAGACGATGACTCGTGGACCTGCTGACCTGGACTAAGAATGACAAAGGGGTCCTTCTGGCGAACGACATTTTCACCAGCGCAATCTATCTGTCATATGAGAGAGAGGGCTATCCGAAGCTGGTGCTGCGACTGAAACACATTGCGTTTTGGCTCCTCGTGGTAGGTGAACAATCAGTGCATGTCAATTGGTGCAAAACCTTGGGTGCTCATGTTAATGTTTTGCTTTATATAACTGCAGGTGGAACACAAGATCAAGACTGGTTTGCCTCTCTCTCATAGCAGTGTGGACCTCAAAGGACTGTATGCACGCTACAGCTCCAATGTCCGCAATGTCGTTCGTGATACCATCCAGAGCCCCACGAGCAATTCCACGGGGCCGTGGTGGCAGGCCGATTTCAAAGCGTGGAAGTTTCACGAGAGCACAGATCGCCTTTTTATTAGCTGTGATGGGATTGAGGATTTGAACCCTTAAAAGTGCTACTATGAGAGTTGGCTAGGCAATAAATAGCTGTGTGCTTGATATGTCGCTCACAGCGCATAAATTTTAGTAACGTAGTATTATTGATAGTAGGATCAATCTGTAGTGACGTTTCTAAGTATTCAATTGTGAGAAAACAACGGCATAAATAAAATCCAATTAAAAGCGCAATATTAAAACCGTATAAACTTATATTAAACGTACCGTATATTCTTTTAGCAAATCACCTAAAAAAATGTACCAGCACTAGACCAATACAAGGCACTGAGTCAATATTAACGAGACGGAGCGAACCAGTAACATTCTGACAAAGTGTCCCTGATATGTCGCACGTCATCACAATTTGAGCAATGGCACCATCACACTGGGACTGACATACTGTCGCGTGTCTAATCCAGAATGCGCCACGTAACAGGCTCTCCAGTGGTGTGTGGACGCGTTGCCCTTTTCTAAAGCTGGTGAAAAAACGAGAGACAGCCGCGTGTCAGACTAAACTGTCTGACACAGATGGTCCAGAGCGAATCAGCCATCTCCACAACACCATCAGACTGACCATTAGTTTACCGACAAATTGCAGTCCTGTTTTGGGAGGGAAGCATCGTAGCTGTGCCGCGTGTCCGTTTTGCCTCTGACAAAAAATCCTTCGCACCCAACCAAGACACTGTAACTGGAAAGTCGCTGAAGCACTTGCGGTCTCGTCTGAACATACCCAAGCAATCATCAACGAGCACGGAAGTATGCGACTCTACATCAAAAAGGCCTCGGCAAATCAAATAGCACCAAAACATTCTCGCCCACCAGTTAACATCCAGTGCTGCAGTCGCCCGCGGAACACCTGTACCTACGGGCGAGAAACTTCAACGCAGTTTTACGTTCGGGAACCCACACAACATTAAAACATACGCTACGTAGGTTCATTGGCAACCGAAAAATATGCATTTAGAAAGCTTGATTTCTTTCATGTAGCAATGGCATCGTCTCATTTCAAGTGGGTTTAGTACAATTGAAATCCAAGCAATTCTAGCAGACTAATAAATGTCAGAAAGGCAAGCAAAAAGTTTAGAACAAGAAAGAGGGGCGTTCACTAGTAAGCAGGGCAGTACATATAGCAAACCCTAATTTGGGTTGTACTCACTATAGAGTACCCCACTGCAGACTAGACAATGATAACATTCTGACACACCCCCATAGACAAAGTGGGGTATAATCAGCACAGCAAGCAGGCATAGAGCAGGTTCACAAGCACAAGTAAAGCTAGAGGCAGTCGCAGAGGGCAAGTGAGGAGGAGGAGTGACTGTGAGAGGAGAGGAGATGGGAGGTGACGGTGGAAGCTGCAGACACACAGGAGCGGCTGGCTCAGTGGCTACCGAAGCAATGGCCCGGACTACAGGAGTAACTGGCTCCGCGGAGATTGTAGCCTCCTGACCGGAGCAACTGACCCACAGGCGACTGGCGACTACCGGAGATTGTAGCCTCCGGACTACTGGCGCTGCTGGCGACACGACTGCTGCCTCCGCTCAACTTCCCCCAAATGTCCCACACCCTTTGCACACACCCCTTGCTGTACCCCTAGCTCCACTCCCACGTCACCCCCCTTAAACCCTAAACCCTCGGCTCCAACACACCCACCCCCCTCAGCGGCAGCTGCAGCAGTGGGAGACGGAGGAGGAGGAGGAAATGCAGGTTACCCACACCGGTCACCCCCATGCCCGCCACCCCCAAACCCTAATGCAGGCAGTAGCGCGGGAAGCAGCAGGGGCGGTTCACAGAGGGAAAGGGAGGCGGCTGGGGGGTCTCCTGGGCGCCACGAAGGAGCAGGGCGCGGGCCCCCCGAGGGCGCCACGGCGGGTGACGGGAGGGGGGCCGCGCACGGGCCCCCAAGGGCGGCTCGACGGGCGACGGAAGGGGCCGCGCGCGGGCCCCCAAGGCGCCGCGACGAGGCGACGGGAGGGGGCGGCGCGCGGGCCCCCAAGGCGCCGCGACGAGGCGACGAGAGGGGGTGACGCGCGGGCCCCCAAGGTGCCGCGACGAGGCGACGGGAGGGGGGGACGCGCGGGCCCCCAAGGTGCCGCGACGAGGCGACGGGAGGGGCCGGCGCGCGGGCCCCCAGGGCGCCACGACGAGGCGACGGGAGGAGGGCAGCGCGCAGGTCCCCGGGGGCGACACGACGGGCAGAAAACCGCCGCGCGAAGCAGGAAACCGCCGCGCGCCTCGGGGCGCACGGCGGGCAGAAAACCGCCGCACGCCCCGATCGCACGGCGGGATGAAAAACGCCGCACGCTCCGAGTGCGCTGCAGGAAGAAAGGGTCGCGCGCCCGGGGCGCGCGACAGCAGTAGAGCAGCGGAAGCATCGGGTGGGGCCCACCCACAAGATCGACCCAGGAGGGTCGACCTGCTCTGATAGCATGTCAGAAAGGCAAGCAAAAAGTTTAGAACAAGAAAGAGGGGCGTTCACTAGTAAGCAGGGCAGTACATATAGCCAACCCTAAATTGGGTTGTACTTGAGGAAATTAGAACGAGAATGAAATGACTATGGAATGAGAGTGATACAAATATGCAACCCTAGAAATGTGTACCCCATATGGGCTACCCCACTAAAGCCTAGACAACATTATCATTTGACACACCCCCCATAGGCAAAGTGGGGGAGAACAAGGGGTCACAAGACCAGTCAAGAAAAGCAAAGCAAAGCTCAGGGTGGATCACAAAGTCACCACACATTTCGAGCACAAGTTCAAGGCCAGAAGGCCAGTTCACATGCAGGAGCACACATATATATATATATATATATAAGAGGCTAAGCAAGCAAGAGCAGGAGTATATATATGTCACAGTACAAGCAAGGTCAAGAAGTGAGCAAGTGAGGCAAGACAGGCACAAGACCAAGCTGAGTACAGAAGCGCTGATGATCACAAGGCGCAAGTGACTTCGTGAAAACATCAGCAGTGTTGGCCTCAGAGGCCACGTACGCAAGCCGCAACTGACCACGCTGCTGTAGCTCACGAGCAAGGAAGTAGCGAAGGGCAATGTGCTTTGTTCTGTGCTCCTGTCTCTGCTCTCGACACAAGGCCAGCATGGCCTTGTTGTCTACGTACAGGACTGGAGGAGAACGAGGCGGCTCTCCAAGGTCGGTCAGCAGGTAGGTGAGCCAGCGAAGCTCCTGTGCAGCCATGGCCCCGGCGTAGATCTCGGCCTCACAACTGGAGCCGAGAACAAAAGACGAGCGAGTAGCCCGCCACGAAACAGAGCCGGAACCAAGGCTGAAGGTGTAACCCTGTGACGACCGCTGCGTAGCCTGGTCGTCAGCCCAAGAAGCGTCCGCGTGCCCAGTGAGGACCACTGGACTCTGCCCTCCAAGCACTAGCCCCATGCCCGACGT